ACACACATATGAACTTTAATGAAGATGATGCACATATTTAGCTCTCTCTGATACTTTTTGCTTTAATCATAATACGGCTTGTATGAAACACCTTTAAAAACAGAGGCAGGAGACATATTACTGCATGTATACTCTAAGGTTGCATGCTAATCGGTCAGCAGATGTGAGCTTTTGCTGAACTATACCAAACTAGAATCTTTTGTAGTCTGTTAACATGTTAGCTAACAGCTTATAAGCAGCCTGCTAGTTTTGTTAGATCAACCAAATAGTTCATTTGTGAAACCTGCTTATCCTGGCAGGGTTGAGTGGGGGCCTTTTCATGAAACCTCCCTGGGAGGTTGTAGGGCATGTGAGCTTCTCAGGGTTAAAAGAGTTTAATTCTCCAGATGAGCGACAAAACAAAGGCAGTGACAGATGAAACAAAGATCCATGCAAGCTCAATGGTACATTTAGAACCACTAACTATCCTAGAAAAAGTTTTTTAACTGTGGGATGAAGCTGGAGTACCTTAAAAAAGCCCCACATGTACAAGATGAATACACAGGAATTTAAATCTGTAATTTTCTTGCTTGTTGGGTGACAATGATAACCACAAGAACTCTAGTAGTTCTTGGTGTGGTTTCTTGTGCTATTAGGATTTTCTTGTGATAAAATCTAAGCTAAAGGATTTCTTAAAGCTTCGAAGAATATTTCAGAAATAACTCCCAATTTACACAGTGAATTTGAAAGGATGCCATATAAAAAGATGTGTGAAATCTTTAGTCCTTCCTTGTTTCAAGCAGTAACTTAGAAAGAAAATAAATGGTTGAAAATATATAGCACCTCTTAAGCAGTAATTGCTTATCACTCTTAATATCACATCTATTAGATTTTGGGGCTCTTGACTGTAACTGCAGAGAAAGCATAGGCTTTGATCATGACAGAAATTAGCTCAAAATATTTCTCCCGAGAGAAGGATGAAAAGACTATTTGGCCTGAGAAAGAAAAATTAATTATTGGACAACCACACACAATTTCTTTCATGTCTAAAATTAAAGAATATAAAAATCTGATATGGTGACAAAAAAGTGATAATAACCAGCCTGCACTGAAAGTTAATTAGGTAATTGCTAAGAATATCGGCATTTTTTAACGTCATTATAAAATCTCTGGTTCTCCAATGTTTTAAGGTGTACACGCTGAAGGATAGCCTGCTTCTAATTGCAGGAGGCTGACCCTACTAAAACTGACCTTTGGTAATATTTTTTTAGAAAATATATAAGTAACCTTCTAGTTGTGAACTAAGTTCTCAGCATCATTTACCTTGCGATTCTCAGAAAGAGCTTCTTCTAGGGACTATCAGAGCAGCGTGAACCCATTGGCGGGAGTAGAGAGAAAGTCAGTCAAGGTATGATGAGCTGTCATAGCAGCGTATCCATCTATCTCAGCTGTCTGGTGAAACATCAAGTGAAAAAATAGGTGTCTGTAGTGATTCCCTTACAAAAAATTCCCATGTGAAAGTCACATGTGGTCCTGTGATTTTCACATCATTTATATGTATGATTTTTGAATGTTTTGTGGTAAAAGCATATGTTTCCCATTTCCCATTTATTTTCTTCAAGATTCTGCAAAAAAAAGAAAAAAAAAAGTCAGTAAATACTGACCTTGTTACTGCTGTACCTACAGTTCCCTCAGGATGAGTGTGATGGGTTTGGACAGACATCACTCTCTTTTTTTTTATTATTTAACTATAAAGCCCTCTTCAGCATATATGTTGACATATTGTATTGATTTCCACCTGGAAAGTGTGGTAGGTGTAATTTGGGGCATGTGATAAATTTCTTCAAACAAAACATTTTAAATATTTCATAAATGTAGACTCAATCATAAAATGATCATACTCTTACAGTAACAACATAATTAACATGTCATCTCTGAAGGTTGCATCTGTTAGGATTTTGCTAAGCACATGTTGGTCTTATCAGCTCTGAGACGGGGAATCAGCAAGCTGCACACTTTACAGCCAAATAGCTGATCTAAATGTCTGCAAATGAGGTAGAAGAGATGGTGTTCAATATGTGTCACCTTCACTCATTCACACACTCTGCAAAATCCAGTCGGCTCTGGCTCTGTGTCTTTTCTTCTGCCTTTGTTTTTGGTTTTTCTTAAACATTTCCCCGTTTGATTTTTTTTTAGAAGACTGCTGGTAGCTTTTTTCTGAGTTGTCTTGCTGCAACATAGTGAAAATCTGCACTAATCTGCCTACACATTTCTAAGATGCACCAGCACACAGGCTAGGTGGAAATTAAACATTGAGGTTTTACAGGTTCCCCCTTCATGTCCAATCAGGAAAAGAGGAGATTTTTTTTATTTTTTATTCAACAATGTAGGAAACATAAAGTGTTCTTACCATGCCCAACACATATTCTTATACCCGAGGTAAAAAATAATGCAACAAAAACACATGGAACACGTGGAACCATTTTGGTAATTGTTTTTAGTGGGTTGTACCCAATTGAAGGAGAACCAATGGAAAACGTATAAAGCACAAGCAGATGAGAAAATGGGTAAAATGGAAATTCCAGCTGAAGAGGATGTAGCAGTAGAGCTTCTTTGGCTACAGCTGAGATTGTCATAAAGTGAGTGTGTTGCTGCAGTGATCATTGCATCCAGCAGGCCCATAATGAGAGAAAATTAGGGAATCTTTGCTTATCCTTCTCTGGCCCGGTGGGCCGATGCACATTTGTGGGTCGGCCCAAAGCTTTCATAACTTAACCAAAAAGTATGTTGAAAATATTTTTTTTAATTGATATTCCTGAAAAACATCCAATAAAATCTCTCAGTCCTCATTTGTTTGCTTTTCTGACTCTTGCCATGGTTCATTCTGGATTCTTTCTGCTACTTTTCATTTCAAAGTGCTGATGTTTGTGTTTCAAAGCTCTTTGAGGTCTTTTCTGGTGAAATTCTACTGTAAAATGCTTTGTTACTTGTGGTCTGACATTAGAGAAATGATAGCGCATCACAGCTTTTCTGGGCTCCAGTGTGCTCACTTATCTTTCCTTTTCAGAGGGCTGGCTCTTATCTTCAACTTGGCAGATGTTACAAAATGGACCTCAAAATGTTGTCACTTCCTGGTTGGTCTCACAATAGAGTACAGCAGAAAGTGTGACTGTGTTTGAAGGGTTTTAGTAGATTTGTAATTTTAAGATGGTATTATTGATATTTAAGCTGTTTGTAAGCAAATAAAAGGAGCAAAGATTAGATCCTAGAACATGCCTTGTGTAATGTAACATGATTAAATGGGGGGCTACTTCCTCCCTTCCTGGTGGGTGTGGTGGGGATAAAATATGTTAACAACATAGCAACTTTGATAAAAACCATTTCTAAGTCTGCTTGTTTCAAATTCGATATGCTTGTACCACCTTTTGCAGGGAATGATGTTATAATGGGGTCAGTAAAATCAGAAGGTGACTTTGCATTCTTACATTGAGTTTTTTCTTCCAAAAATGGAAAGGTGCAACAGATGATGCTCAGAGCTGTTTTTATTATTCTTTGTATTGCTTTCCACTTCATAGCTGAGCTGCCAGCTTAGCATAGCTAAACATATGTCATCACAGTCTTCAGTGGTGGATTGGTAAAAGCTCAGCAGGCTTAACTGTTTCTTTGTTGCACCCTGATGTGCCACCTACAGTAAATCACTGCCATCGCTTTGGTTCCCCCAGACAGTGTTTTTGTGATGTATGTCCCCAGGAACCTGGAAGATGGCGCTCTCTCTTCACTGGTTCTGTTCACATGGAGTCAGACAACATCCTGTCTTTGTCTCCTAATAGTCAACCAATATCTATTTGGCTTTGCTAGTGTTGAACGGCAGGTATGGAGTGCTGCTGTGCCAGTTTCTGAACCTCCTTCATGTGCGCTGAGTCATCCCCTCCAGTAATAAGTCGCACCACTCTAGTGTCATCTTGAAATTTAACTTTCTCGGATGTGTCAAGCATCAAGGTGAGAAAGCAAAGTGGGCTTCCTTCACCAGGTCATGGGTAGCTGGTAAGGAAGTCTTTAATCCAAGCTTAGGTGAGGATAAAGGGTTATTACATGTCAGAGATATGTGTTTACCGGTCAATTCATAAAATGTATCCTGATGTAGTTCTGTTTGTGTTTTTAATTAACCATTCAGTTCATCAGTGGCTGGTTTCCCTGTATACAAGCTGGGGTAGACCACATTTAGGCAGATCTTATGACAAAGTGAGTGTAGCGGATTCAGTGGTTCATAGATCTGACTCTCATCATTTATCAGCATCGGTCACCGTACTCAATAACTCCTTTCATTACACCATAAAATGTACATGTTTATACCAGAATATGCCTTATACAGAGGAACATAGACTTGCTGTGGTCAGCCTCTAAGGTTGTCAGAATTTTTGTGTTATTTATATGCGTTGTCTATTTATTGTCTATTTGGATAACTGCTACACATTATCTAGCATCAAGAATTACCAGCACCGTTTGACCTTTTCTGTTTGACAGCCTTATCAGCAAAGTTCCTCAGAATAATGCTTTTGCCTTTGACTTTTCGACTAAAGAGGATTGACGAGCTATGCTACCAGAGTTTTTAAACTTCCAGAAGCAGCTCACCGTCGGTTCTAATGATAGTTCTGTCCCGTCTGCAAGGAAGTGGAGGGGCAGATTGTCTGTCTCTGTAGGACTCCCCAAGCTATTTTCATCCTGGTGAGATGAAAATAGCTTAGTTTGAATATACTAATTTGTGACATAATCCATACTAAGAATTCCTTTTTGCATCAATCATATTGAAACATTAAATACTTTGATAATCTTTTGCTGTTCTCCAAAGAAGTTGCTGTTCTCCAAAGAAGTTGCTGTTGTTTGCTAGCCTAATTTTAGCACCACGTAGTGGGAAATGTAGTTTGCATGCATACACAAGCCATCTTGAATGGTTGATAAAATATTTTAGCCAACCTTTTCTTGCATCCAACCCTAATATGCTTTATCTTTGTTCCCCTCAGGTGGAGCGGATTGTGGACAAGAGGCGAAACAAGAAGGGTAAATGGGAGTACCTGATCAGATGGAAAGGTTATGGACGTAAGGAGGACACCTGGGAACCGGAGCATCACCTGCTGCACTGTGAGGAATTCATCGACCAGTTCAACAGCTCAAGATGGCATTCACACAAACGACCTAAGATACCAAAAAACCACGCGGAGCCCCTCACAACCAGCCAGCATTCGGCTACAGAAAACTCCCGGGCACGGTCTGAAGCCCGTAAGAAGAAAAGGACTAGTGGTCCAGCTGTGGGGATGAGAGTTGGAACCGTTTTAGGAATTGCAAGTGGAGGGTCAGGACTCTCTCATAAACAGAAGAAAGTAGGTGCTGGAGCTGGGAAACCTCCTTTAGCGGAGAGAATGAGCAAAGCCATGACTTACAAGGCTCATCCATCAAGTGGGCCTCACTGTGTTGCCCTGTTGAGGGTTCCTCACAATGGACTTCAGAACGGAGAGATGGAGCCTCTTGTGTACAGTACAGCACCAAGGTCACACAGGCTGCCTTCAGACAGGGTGGAAACAGAACTAGGACAAAAAGATACCACTGGATCACAGTTCACTACTGAACTAGGTAAGATGTTAACTGAGCAAATTGTATGGTAAGCCCAGATGAGATTATAGTACATAATAAAGAAGTTGATTTGTGACAGGTTTCACAATAGAGTCCACAACACAAACACAACACTGCCCTGCTGGTAGTAAATGCAAAATAAATTAACAGTTTACCTGTAAAGCAGAGACGTTATTGTCAATGGCTAGCATCCTGTACGTTATGGATGAAGTTAATGTTCATTTCCAGGTCTCTATAGAGTTTGACGACATGCAGAGTCATGTGAATTAGATGTGTAATAACAGGAAACATTTAAGATATGCAGAAAAGCCTACATTTGAAGAATGCAGTTGGGAAGCATTTATATAAAGTTATCGCTCAATTATACACCCTTAAACATTCAAATTAGTTTCAACCGCTTATTAGATATGAGAATTAATGCTAAAAATGGGTTCAGTAAGTGTTTGCTAAGTAAAATACTGCCCTAAATCACTTTTAGTAAAATTGAATTTTTGAAATTTGTAAACCTTTTTTCACAGTTTTACAGAGTCTAACATAAAAAAATACATTTAAATGATTTGTTTTTTCCTTAGCTTAACCTTTTCCAGGAAAATTAGATAGTTAAGCTCTATACCTTGACAAATTATACCTAGGAAAGATTGTGGCAAAAGTATGAACCATCCATTATTGCCGCTGCTGGTTTTTCATTTTATGTCACAGTTCATTAAGTATATATCCCCTTGTCATTAATGATGTATAAAACACAGGTGGGTGTAATATTTTGACACATAGCTCACGCCACCAATTGCATTCAAAGATATTGCAATAATTAGATCTACAGACTTTTAAAATTGTCTGTGAAAGAACTGGTGCACAGAAACTGGATATATATTTAACAAGATACATTCAGAAAATTATGAGAAAGGATATATGGGCACTGATGCTTGTTGGTATTGTACTAAGGGTTAAAACCCCCACGGTAATCCTGGTGGAGCTGCAGAAATTCACAGCTTAGGTGGGAGAACCTGTCAACAGGACAACTATGCAGTTCACAAATCTGGCCTTTAAGGAATAGTGGCAAGAAGAAGGCCAGAGTTAAAAAAAAAAATGAAATAAGAAGTCCAACTTGGAGTTCGTCACAAACTATGTGGTGAACACAACTAGAAGAAGGTGCTCTTGTGCAAGAACACCAAAATTTGGACATTGTGGTCCAACACTCTATATCAGCCTAAATGCACCATCCCAACGGTAAAACAACAGCACCAAACAGAAGTTTGATACTGTGGGGAGAGGGAAAGCTGTTAAGAGTTCAAGACTGTGGAGAGAGTTAAATACAAAGTCCAGAAAGAAACCCATTGCAGGCTCCAGGAGAGCTGAAACTGTATGACATACCTTTCTACTATAAGCTTTATGATTTGAACTTCTGATCTGGAGGTTTTTTGGATTTTTTTTATCCCTTTAACTTCATTGCATTTTTTCACAAAAAGTATCGAGCACAGAGTGCTTTTTCTGAACTGGTCCAGAAGCATGGTAAAACATTGCCAACTAATTTAAATTTGGGATATGAAACATTATTTCTTGGGTTTCTTGAATTAATGTCATTTTTATTATTTTGTTTCTAACTGTCAGGACACAAATAAATATTTTAACCCTTCCCTCTATGCTTTTTCATGCCATCAAGTCTCAATGAAACGCTTTTCAGAAGTGTGTTTAGTTCTGTTGTTTAAAAGTTGACCAAGTCAATACTTTTCACAAATCTTATATGAAGAAAACTTTAACATTTATATGTATCCAAGTTATTAATCTCATCCCATGTGTTTGAATCCAACTATATGGCATGATTGTCCAAATGGGCTCAAATCGTCTCAGTAGCCTGATCAATAAAGAAGCTGAAAATTAGACAGAAGTAGGTTATCATTTAAAAATCTTTTAAGTATCACATATTTTCCTCCAATTATTGCAATTTAAAGCTGGCATTTCTAATACGCTTTTTTTCCCCTCTATGACAGAGTTTTCCTATTCCATGATAATCAATGTACTCTATGATAGAACTTAGTGCTGAATACTTTAGCAGCCTCACATTTATAATGTAGAGAGCTGTGGTTTTACACACTGGGGCTTGTTAAAGCTCCCGATGAGAGGTGATAACACCTTTTGAATTTCACTCTTGGGTCACAGTCCAGGGTCTGATCCACGGTAGTTAATCATTACTGCTATTCTGAACAAGTCGTTTTTGATTTAGCAAAAATCTGCATCAACAGGGATTTTTCTTTTTTTCATCATTTGTGTTAATGTGAAAAAGAAGAGTCTGGAAATGTGTTATCTTTCCATTTCTTGGTGCTGCATTGGTTTGTAGCTGCTGTAACTTTGAAAACAAAGAAATAAAGTAAAAACCTAGAGATTGTGTTTGTGGGTAAAAATTACTACAGTACTTAATTTCCCAATTACTGAGATTTTCCCACCAGGCCCATCTCTAACCAAAATGTATATAGGAAAAGACAGCAGTTCAGGCATTTACCATCCTGCTTATTTTCCCTTTTAATCATGGAATTATAGCTTTAATACAACTGTCAGCTAAATAAACTTTCTCCTCAAGGAAGCTTAAGAGGACTCCTTTAAGATCAAATAGTTTCCATATGTTACCCACAGTTAGCAGGTGCACCAGAATGTGAACTTAAACGTGGTTTACAAAGATAAATATTTTATCTGTCAGGTATTTTTCCATGTAACATTCTATATATGCTAACAATAGGGTCACCTTATTGTGTTGTCTTATAGCAATCAGTCACTCTGACAGCTACTATACATCCTAATCTCCTAATCCTTCACTCATCTCATTCAACAACCTCATTAATCCACTGCAGTATGTAAATATGTATGTAAACAGTATATATATGGTTGCCAATACTTAACACAAATGTTCCAAATCTTTAAAATCACAACAAATATATTATCAGAAATAAGAATAGACATTTCTCTATGAATGTTTACATGGAAGCTGGGCAAGAGAGATGTTAAAAAGAACATGTTTATGAAAAATGTTCATTATTTTTCTTATTATTTTTATAGGGATATTATTTTTATAGGGACTATTTTTACCTATTCTTTGTCCATAATCTCATAAATTCTTAACACCAAACTTTGCAGCTTCAAAATAAATTCTTGTGGGCAATAAAATCTCTTTGATTTTGGTTCAAAAATGTAATTCACAAAGGTATATTATTCACTTTTAAGACTAATTAAAGACTCTTCTGGAGGCATGCTACTTTTGCCACAAACTATTGAGGGACCAGTTCACCATCAACTGAACCCGACCATTTCCTTAACAGTGCTGTCAATTTTAAAAATGTTATTAAAGCACTTCAGAGGTGAAATCAGTCATTGTTTCTTAAAAAAGGTCTGTCAAAAAACATGCTTTTAAAGTCATCCTTCTGAACTTTGAATGAATTGGCAGTACAGTGAAAAGGCCTCACTGCATGGGTGGTTGTGAAGAAGTGGTGTTTTTTTCTGAGTGACTTGTGCTCTTGTGTACTCCCACATCATGTCAAGATGTTCTTGGATAAGACATGTATTCCTCGCTAAACTTGTTCTTTGTTTTGTTCTTGGGGTTTTTTTTCCACCTGACTGACGTCATAAGCTGAGGTTGAGCTTTGACGGAAATCCTCTGCTCAGTGTGACTGTGCCACAAATCAAGGTTGCAACTCTTAAATATTAATGAAATTAGGCTGGAATTCACTGAAGTCCACCATAAAACTTCAGAGAATGAATTGAGATGATGCAGATGTGCCATAGAGCTCTTTCAGAAGAGACTCAGTTTCCTCCAGTTACCTACATAATGTTAGGCTGAAGCTGAATCCCACGGATGCTGTATATTTGAGACACAATGAGATCTGTTATGAAAAAACATTAAGAGTATCACAATAGAGCTGAAGGGACGAGAAAAAACATAAAATTGGATGATTCTGTTCAAGATTTATATTAAGATATAGGATACCATGCAGCACCTGTGTGTTTATCTAACATATTTGGACTAATGAACATTTAATATCTATTTCAACAACAATAAAATAAAATCATATTTAAATAAGCAAAAAAATTGAAAATGTTAATAAAATCTAAAAAAGAAATTCAATAAATTACAACAGCTCCACATGTTTTCCCACTTAGAGTAATTGAGATTACACACAATTTTATCACATCGGGTGCACATGATTAAATGGTCTGTATTAAATATTCTGAAGGAAGTTTAGACATTTTGTTGATGGTGTGCTGCTGAATGTTTAAGTGAGAGTGAAAAGCATGGTGTGACACAATGAGATGTCTCAAAGAAAAGAACTTCTAGAATAATGATCTTTGGATAGTTTAATCTGAATTATTTGCACAACAGAACTGAGGGCTTTTTTGTGTGAACAAAGTACAGTATAGTAAGAAAATAATCTCAAACCAGATGAGAAGCATAGAGCTTCATATATCTTGGTCTGGTCTGTTTGGCTGCTATAGAACCTGGTCAGCGCAATAAACATAAAATCCACCATGAAGTGTATCTGAGGGTGTGTGACGAAAATGTGAGACCATCTGTAAATATGCAAATGCAACAGAGATGACAATAGCTCAAAATATACCAGTATTCCACCAAGGGTTGGTTGGGAATATAGAAAGGGAAAGATCTGTGTGGAGATGAAGCCCTGATCTTGAACCAGGCTGTAAACTCAAAAGATCTCTTAAAAATCTCACAGCTAAGAGTGAGGAGTGGGATGCTCTTTTCTAAGACTAATGGTACAAACTGGTTGATCCCTATGAGAAGCATCTCATTAAGGTTATTTCAACCTAATAAGTTACACACTAAGGAGTGTTATCTTTTTTCCCCGTTTAGAAAAGACACTTTATGGTTGATAGCTCTCTTTGTAGCAATCCCTCTTCCTAAAGAGGCATAATGCGACAGTGGACAGTTATTATTGCATCGTGTCATGACTTTGGCGCAATATATTGTTGCGCCGAAGTGTGCAGGTAGTGACAGTTTCTATGTTAAAGACATAAGTTTAAAGCAGAAGTAGCTCCTTTTGTGGCTTTATCCATGAGAGATGCAGCTAAATATACAGAGGCTGATCCAGAAGTAAAATACATGTCATGAAAAGATGGTTATTCACAGCAAAGCTCCTTCACTTTGTTTATCTAAGAGACAACCACAACACAGGGTTAAGTGAAGTTCAGTAGAAAAACAAATGGTCATAATTTTTGTCCTTAAGACTGCTTGTTCAGATAATAATCACCGACTTCCAGTTTAAGTGAAAATTAAAGTCACTGATTCTTTATTTATTTATTTTTTCTGAACACAGAGCTAGTTTCTGCTCCAGCGTAGATGTTTTTTTTTTTTTTTTTTGACAACAAAAAATATTCAGTAAACTGCAGTCATTTTACCATTTTTTTTTCACACCAATTTGAATGTGTTTGACAAAAATCACATGAAAAGAACTGACATCAGACTGAGCTGCAAAAAGAGCAAATGGAGTTTAATCATAAGTTGTCAAATACGAACTCCCTTAGAAAGAAATAAAAATGATTTTCTCTGTCATCCCTCATTCAGGCGCACCTCTCGCCAGTGAGAAAATGCATCTGCACAGCTCAGTAAAGAGGAAGTTGGCGGAGGAGAAAGGCTACGTGTTTGACAAGCGGCTCAGGTATAACGTGCGACAGAACGAGAGCAACTGTCGATTCAGAGACATTGTGGTCAGGAAGGAGGAGGGCTTCACGCATGTCCTGCTCTCCAGCCAAACCACAGACAACAATGCTCTAACACCAGAGGTGAGAGGAAAACCTGCCAACACCTTCTTCCTTTTCATTTGTCCTGTCCCTCCTGGGGGTTTTGTTCAGTGTTGTATTGGTAAATAAAGTTCATGGCAACTTTTAAATGGCTCACGTTTAGTATCAGGTTGCATTTAGGAATAATCTCTGCACTGTATTTCTACAGCACCATTTCTACAAAAGGTCATTCAAGGATAATGAAACAGAGAATTGCAGTAAAAATAAGAAATGTGTCGAAAAGCTAATCAGTGCCATATATTACAAAATGTTTTTCTATCCATTGATTTTTTTTTTTTCCACATTTCGCCAGATTGCATCCATAAACTGCAACGTATTTCATTGAAAATTTACTGGGTAGAACTACACAAAGTAGTGCATTTCTGTGAAATAACAGAACGCTACTCCTTTTGCGTATAAAAATCTGAAAAGCATTCATCCTTCTTTCTTCCGATAGCCCTCCATAAATAAAACTCAGTCCAATCAATCACATAGTTGAACAGACAACACCTAGTAGGAATTCAGCTGTTCTGTCCAGACCTCAGATCTTTGGCAGAGAACATTCATGAACAAAAACATAGAGAATACCAAAGAACACACCAGACACCAGGAATAAAGTTGGAAAGCCATTTAAACTGTGAAAATCCTTAAGACGTGGCCACTTACATGAAATGAGGCGAGAGCAACAATCAAGAAGTTCATAGTAACTTTCAAGTACCTGCAGAGAACCGCAGCTGAGGTGGGAGCATCTGTAAATCTAAGGGGTGTGAGTTATTTTTGCCAGGCACCAGAACCACTCCAACTGAGCTTTTTAGGTGCCAGATCGAGGAACAGCAGTTTTGTGTGACATCTGCCCAGTGTGATGCAGTCAGCTGCATAAAGCTGCCATTAGCATACTTCTGGAAAAAATGTCTTCTGCCTCCTGCCAAAGCCAGCTTTAAAAAGTTTGCTATGAGGGCTACAGGCCATTTAATCCAGAGTTCATCCATCTGTTTTCACAGAGGCAAGATGATACTTGAACAAGTGAAAAGATTATGCTGGTGATTCAAAAAGGGAAGAAGCTTGTAATTGCCTTTTGAGAGAAGTGCAGACCCTAAAGAAGATTTCCAGTGTTTCAACTCATCTTTCTGTAGCACCATCAATGCTGCACAGCATTCAAGTATTTCCAAGAGGACCACTCTGATTGCAAAGATATATATTTTTGCAAATTTCTCAGTGCAGAAGCATCTTTAAAAGCAACAAATATTTTTTTTGGCAAAGACTGAATGCATTGCACCCACCGGTAGCGGGGGTCTCCCTATTTTTAGAAGCATTTCTGATTAGGTCTGGCGTACCAGCTGTGTTCTCTCTTCAGGCATAAAAGATGCAAAATCTGCATCAAGCTGCGTTCGCCGATATTTTCATATTCTCCTCGATCACCTGCTGACGCTACGTCAGTTAAACTCCCTTGACAAAATCAACCTGGAGTGATAATTTGAATAGTACAACCTGCCTCCAGAGGTTGCTCCCTGACTTGATCTGGTGTCAAATAAAGAAATGACTTCTGTGTTCAGAAGTTGTGCTGAGGATAAATTATTTAGGTGAAACAGCATTCATTTCTCTAAGCTGAAATGTCAGTGGTGGTGAAAGTGAAAAAAATAAAATAAATTAAAAAAAGATTAGTGGAAATTCAGGATGTCAGGTAACGGCTTTCTTCTCAGCTGCTTCGTGCATTGTAAACTGACTGCCTGCTGGATTCCACCAATATGAGATTGGATGCTTATTTCCACAATCAGTCGGCAGCAAACTGCTACATTTTCTGTAGATTGATTAAGTTACTTGTTTTCTAGCTGCATGCCAGCAACTCTCAAGTTGCCGTGGGTTTTTGATTTTGAGAAATGTTTACGGCTAAAAGTTTGCACATATAAGTTTGTCTGTTTTGAGCCTTCATCTCTTTCTGTTCATTTTCAGCGTTGCTTTAATGTGTTTCTGGAGCTCGGGGTTGGGCAGAGATGATGGGGTGGATCACAGTCATCCACCTCAGCCTGATAACTCTGAGCAAACAGGTTTTTCTGCTGCTCACATGTTACTCTGAGCCTTCACACAGGACTGTTCTCGCTTTGATGCAGCGTTGTGGGCAAGGCAGCCTGTACCTCACAGGCACTCAAGTGGCCAAAGTGAGGCTGTGTTTATGTGTGCGTGTACTTTCATGTGTGACAGTAAGCCCATAAGATGTGGGCTTATCAAACAGCTCTGATACGTTCTTTTGTGCCTCTCGTTCTTTGAAGCTGCAGAGACAAGACAATCTCTGGATGTGCTTGCTGAATGGGTTCACTTTAGAAAATCTGGAAATTTATTCCGGTTATATTTTTCCAAGCACTGCTTTAGAGGAGGAAAAAATTTCTGAGGCCTTAAGTAGAGTATTTTTTCCTGTTTCAGAAGCTAATACGTCATAGCATTCCTATTTTCTGTGCTGCTGTGGAAATCATTACTTTTAAAGTCATTTCTGGTAAGGTTTTAAGGTGGTTTGACTATTAATTGCAGGATAGATATGTTACTGTGCTTGTTGTCAAGTCTGTCATCCTCAATCAAAATGACCTTTGGAGTACATCAGGTATCCACTCTAAAAATTCTCCTGTTTTCTTTGGACATGTTGTCATGGGGGAAATCATCTGTAAACACAGCATTAATTTTCCCTCTTATGCATCTGCACACCTATTTATTCCCTTCTAAACTCAACTTTACAAAGAAGCTACAAGATATCAAATGCTGGATGGGACTGAATTTACCAATCGCTCCTGTTGACCTGACACATCTGACCTTCTCAGCTGTAAAGTTGGACCTATCCTTTTATTTATTTTTCTTCCAATAATCACTTGATCTTAAGTAAGCATGTCAGTTGAGTTTTTTTTTTTTATGCAACTTTTCAGTCTCATGAAGGTCAGCTCAAGTTAATCAAAAAAATTATGCAAAATTTGACTGTTATGTCTAATTATATCTTCACAGAAATTTATCTGAGCCAACAAAGCTTACACTCACTGCAAATAGTTCAAAAGGCAGCAGCCAGACTTCTTTCCAAAACCTAAAAAAGAGAACACACTGCAAAAAAGACAGTTAAAAAATGTATTTGGTGACCAAATGGCAACAGATTCCCCACCCTAACTACTCTGGGCCTCCTTTGAAGTGTATCTCAAATCTCCAAACCTGTTTCCCAGCTGGCTGAAAGGTCAGCACCTCAGCCAAAACTCTCCAGGCCATACCACACATCCAGCTGGGAACTGGGTTTTTCGGTCAGGGAATTGATTTTCTTGAGTCTCCGACATGCAATAAAGTGTTTATTTTCAAAATGTCTTTTAAAAACAGTGTTTATATGAAGGTATCTCATGCTTCACATAAGCTATGTTTTACATGGGTTCTAAGAATTTTTGTTTTTCCGAGATTTTATTTTGATTGCAAGTTTAATTTGAGTGTTTAAACATGTTTTATTAGTTGGTGGTATTTTTGTATCATATTGCTGCTTTTAATTGTTTGTCCTCTTAATTATTTTAAATCTTGTGTAGCACTTTGTGACTTCTGTTGCAAAGGTGCAAAATGAGTACTTTAGTAGTAGCGCTTTTTCTGTAAACTAATATTTTGACATTTTGGTTTATGTCTTTTTAAGATGAACTCAAAGCGATAGATCTGGTAGCCTTTTCTACACCATATGCACCAATTTTACAATATATTTCGTGAGCCAGTTCACCTGTGTCGATTCAATAAAACATACCCTGTCCATGGCCACACACAGAGAAAAACTCAGAGCTGCTGCTACACCATTAGGGGTAAATGCTTGGTTAGAGTCTTTTATGAAAGTCCTTCAGGCAGTGGAAGTATTTCCAATCTTTGATATTTCATCTATTCACTTTGAAAAGCTCTTCAGTTGCTTTGGCAGTGGTTGCTGGCAATTTGGCTGCTTGCTTCATTCCCCATTGCCATCTTAAATGCTCACCACGGAGGTGGGGAGGGTGAGGGATTCTGAAACCTAATAGATACTTCCTGGTTATTTTTATCACTTGGTATTTTTAAGTGTAGCAATCTTTTCTGGGGGATTTTCTTGTTGTTGTTTTACCCTTCCTAATTTCAAGTCAGTCATACACATCTATTTATAAGCAGTTATTTGGAAAGTAAAAGACTGAAAATAAAAAGACCTTCCTTTACTGACTGTGATGAAATGCAACATCTACAGCTCCAGAGACTAGATGATTGTTTGGGATATACATAAACCTGAGTTTTCACTTCCAGGAAGCTGCTGTTCATAGTTTCTGAATTGGTGCCATATTTGTTTGTTTCCAAACACCCTCAAGATGTCTCCTGGCTGCACTTGAATGTCACTTCGACAGCCCTCTTCCGTCTTTCACACAGAGCTGATCCAGCATCTGTTCGTCTTTGCTTCATGTTTGTGAGCTGGGTTTTAATTTGTCTCGCTAAAATGCCATCATTTGTTGTGGAACAGAGAAAAGCAGCTGTTTTTCTATCACTCCAGCAGGCATTGCATTGAATCAGATTAATTTACTGTAAACTTGTGTTCTTGCTGAACATAAAGCCTCTTCTGTAACCTCCGTTGTTTTACAAACCATCAATCTACATTTGTCAGACTCTCAATGTGTTTATCAAGAGGGACAAGTCTTTACAATGTCTGTAAAAAGGCTTACACCCTTGCAACATAGGGAAATATAAGCTCAGACTGAGGCCTCCATCAATTGGACAGGACAGATTATACGCTTGATGAGACATGGAGAATTAAGTGCAATTTGAGGTTGGATATTTAATATAGGTCAAGAGTGATAATCTGATTAAAACGTATTTATCAGAATGCCGATTGACTGTAGATGGTAAAGTGGGTGGGGACGGCAGTTCCTAGGGAACCAGTGTCAACCCACACGGGTCTTCATTTCATGAGACAAAAGCCAAAACATACAGGTTGATACAAATATTTCTCTGCACATTTTAAATTATTTCTGGTGCCTAATTTTAACATTTTTGAACTACAAATTTGAGGCATAAATATCTATTGTTTTTTTATAACAATGTGAATATGCGTTCATGTTAAGTAGAGATGTAGTTTGCTTGGGCTACAGTACAAAATGAATGAGTTGTGATGTTGATATGGTAAAGGCGGCATCTGTTAGCAGCGAGGCTGTCAAACAAATGAGATGCTGAACAACTTGGCATGTAAATATTTTACTCACACTCCATCCTGGGAGAATATTCAGAGCTAAAAGTAAAGTCTTTTTCAGTCTGAGATTTTTTTTACAGAAAAAAAAATGCAAAAAAATCACTCAGCTGTTGAGATGAAGTGAAACGTGGTTCAACTGTAAATGAATGGTATCCTTTAAGATCCCGGCAGAAACTGCATTCAGATTCTAATATGCTGGCATGAACTCCTATCACAGCCCAAATCACATAAACGTCTACATTGTGTCTTACAAAAGTATTCATACCCCTTGAACTTTGTCAACTTACAACCACAAACAAATGCATGTCGACATAGCACCTTTTGAAGTTTTACATTACAAAAATAAAGAGTTGGACTTCGTCTCCATCTTTCTTTTTGTGATTCAGCATTTGGTTTATGTCTCTTAAGCTTTGCACATCCAGAGATCTTATTTCCAGTTCCTCTTTGCAGAGTAGCTCAAACTTAGTCAGATTGGATGAAGATCATTCATACATATCAATTTTAAAGTCACTACCGATTTGCAATTGGACTTAGGTCACTTTGACTAGGCCATTCACCTAACACATCAGTGCTTTGTGGATTTTTAGGTAAAGGTCTCAGAGTGAGTGGAGCTGAAATCAAATGCATATTCTTAGGTACAAACATTTAAACCATGTAAAACAATAATTTCACTTCCAAATGATGTACCACATCCTTTTGGTTTATCAGATTAAATGCTTATGAATTGCACTTGAGTTTGTTGTTGGGTGACATAATGGAAAAAGTTCTTTGTGTCGATGCTTCTGAAAGGTACTGCGATGGCTTTGAAGTCGCCCACTGATTTAAGTCAAACAATGCATTACTTCATCTTTATGTTGCTGCAGAGAGCTGACTTGTCGTGATGACTAAGATGAAGTAATGTAAACTCGTGAGAAATATTTTCCTACTTGCAGCAGAGCTGTGGAACATCAACAGGTCGACTGTCGTAGCTTTTATTGGACCCGTGGCAAATCCTCAGTGTCTGCTCTCTGGCTCCATGTAGGTGGACCATTTCCAGAACCACACAACTTTGTCCTGATAGGCTTTTAGGAGTCCTGTGTCAAATTGTCTGTGACGCAGTTTTATGTTCCAATTTAAGATTTTCTTTTCTCTATTTTTCCCTTTTCTTATATTTTCTAAAAAGAGCAGATTTTGTAAGATCTTCTGGCTCGCATCTGATTTTAAGTTATGATTTATGAGTGAGGACGAATTAATTCACTTCATGTTTACACCAAACATTTCCTGCCCTTTAAATTGAATTCTAATACATTTGTTGTCCTCATTTAAATAAGCCAAAGCATGACCAACCTGCTATCAGCTTGTTAAGTCTATTGTCTGCCGATATTGTAAACATTTTTCCCTTGTCTGTTTGCTTACACCTCTACAAAAGTTGCTGCTGCTTCATGTTGCTCACAAATCATACTCCTGCATGACAAAATTTGACACCTTTCCATCTGTTTCTACAGATCATGAAGGAAGTCTGTCGAGCTTTGGGGATTGCTGCTGCTGATGACAGCAAGCTGCTACTCCTCAGCTCTGTGGGGACAGTTTTCTGCAGTGGTCTGGAGCCCTCCTACCTCATAGGGCGTCTGTCCACTGACCGCAGAAAAGAGAGCAGCCGAATCGCCGAAGCTGTACGGTAAGACAGAACTTCAATCTTTCATGATATGCACTAGTTGTGGACAGAATCTACACTCATCTCTCTGATACCCCTTCAGGGACTTTGTATTGGCGTTTATCCACTTCAAGAAGCCGATTGTTGTGGCAATAAACGGGCCGGCTTTGGGTTTGGGGGCATCCATCCTGCCTTTGTGTGACGTAGTGTGGGCTAGTGAGAGGGCGTGGTTCCAAACGCCATGTGCAGCCCTCCACCTCACCCCCTCTGGATGCTCCTCTTACACCTTTCCTCAGATTCTGGGTGTAGCTTTGGTGGGTCTTTTTTTGTAATCTAAATAAAACACATGAATAGCTCATTTTGATAAATGTAAGGATTACATGACGCACTGAAAAAAAAAACATCCTCTAACTGCAGGCCAATGAGATGCTGTTCTGTGGAAGGAAACTCACAGCACAAGAAGCATGTAGTCGAGGTCTGGTATCACAGGTTTTCTGGCCAACCACATTTAACCAAGAGGTGATGCTGCGCGTTAAAGAAATGGCGTCATGCAATGCTTTGGTAAGGCTATAACTAAAAAACTTGTAAGACGAACCTGTGTGTGACACACAACCCTAATTAGCATTATATTGCTTTTCTTTTTGTTCCCAAAGGTTTTAGAAGAGTCTAAATGCTTGGTGAGAAGCATTCTCATCTCAGTGCTAGAAGAAGTGAATGAGAAAGAGTGTCAGATGCTGAAGCAGCTGTGGTGTTCAACCAAAGGACTGGAGGCGCTCTTCAGCTACGTGCACAATAAGACCAGTGAAAAGTAACCATGCGGAGTCTGAAGGACAAATCCGGTTGACGCGGCTCTGAGGCTGCGTGTGCAGGGATGATTGAGAAGAGGATGCTGGGATTTCCAACGCTACTGAGAGTCATTGATTCACTCCATCAGAGAATAGTTTCTGGACTTTTGTCTTCTTGTCTTTAAAAACAAGATACATTTTTTGTACAAGGGCTTCTTTTTTAGACCCACGCTGTACCAACTTCCACGTTCTTCATGTAGCTGTCGAAGCCGAGTATACATCACTTAGGGACTGTCGCATAGTAATCTCACTGCAAATAATAAAGAAATCATATATATTATTAATATATTCATATATTTATTTCAGATGTATAAATTTGTTGTTTTCTGTATTTGAGCTGCATTTTCAGAGGTTTTTATTATGCTCACTTATGTCTTGAGTTGAAGGGTAAACCAAAGTCTGGTTTAGCAGTCTATTTGGTTTTTGACATGCACTTTCACATTCACTCCCACGTATGAAATCTAAAACAAACCCTACTGCTGCTAGTAAATCAGTCCGAGGGATTGTTCAATAGTTGAGGTCAATAAGTACCACAATTTAATAAAAATTATGAAAAGATTACTAAACGACCTCAATGTGGATGTGTCTAAGCATCAACAAACAGACCACAATGATTCATTCAAATTTAAAGTTATTTTCATTCAACCAGGCAAATGGAAGGATGCAGTTATTATTTTTTTTTAACAAAAAAAACGGCACAGTCCAGTTTTACTTAGACCATTTTCAAACAGCAAAATATTATTTGGTATTGCAGCAATTAAATTCGTCCTTTAACTGTTGACCAGCATTTTTTTTTTATGTTTTCACTGGTGTTTTAACAATTTTTTTTTGTGATGAGCTGCAAGTCTGAAGTTGGAAAGCCTCCATCCCATCTGTGCCCTTCCCCTTAGCGCCCTCCACAGACTTTCTCAAAGATTACTTCCAATCAGAAGAAACTTGGTCAAATTAAAATATTACTTGAAATTTAATTCTGCCTCAGGTATAAATGAGTTTAGTTGTGAAAAGTCAACATGTCTTCTTTCTTCTTTTCAGATTGTATAATCATGAATTATAAATTATAATTGTTTGAAATGACATATTTTACCAAATTTTTGTGAATCTTAAAAAGTAACGATAAAAAATAACACTAATCTGTCCAATTCCCTTATAGTTCTACTTATATAATCCAATAAATTATTTGTGGTGTTGGAATTATCAGTTAAGATAAATTGTGTGGGTTATTGGGGAGATGTGAAAGGGTTTTAATTGCTTGACACTCAGTAACTAAAGTATTTTTTTAGGATGAATAAAAATGTAAAAAAATAGAAAATAATAATTTAAAAAAAAACTTTGTCTTAGGATGTCAGTAAAAATGTAAAAATTCAACATTTGTCACTTGAGTCAGCCTGGCCCGGGTCTGCATGTAACAATGGAGGATTTCATGGAATCTGATATTTTGCAAAAATGTATTATATTAAGGGATCTATTTTGCTTTACCAAAGTGTATATGTATGTAGGTCTGTGTAAGTCGTTTAGTAAGAGATGTCAATAATTTTACAGTGAAGAGGTATTTGCATGTACTATATCGTATTGTACGTACTTCAGGGTATGTTTTTGTAGCATTGTAAGTATTTTTGTATTTATTTTAGATAATAATAATTAAGGTGGTGAAGTGTCATGTGGCTTCCCTTTGCTTTCAGTAGCACTGCGGCACTTTTCATCCGTCTAAGCCTAACTTATATGCCCCAGGGTTTGCCCTCGGATAAATTCAGAGTAAAAACTGATTTTAAAAAGTTTTTGTGTTGATTATTTTTATTGTAATTGATCAGATGAAAGTCAATTTCTCATCTTTTGTGTTTTATTCAAACCTATGGATGAGAACAGCTTGAGAAAATGAGGTTTGTTGGATTTTAAACATAAAACTGTTTATGTAATGACATAAACCTGCTTTTGGTTATGGATTGAAGGGAATTATGCAGATTTTTTTTTTTTTTTTACCAAATGACAAAAGCTGAATTAAAATTTTTAATCAAAGTGAGGAACATCACAAAACAAGGATATATTCCCAGAATTTGTTTTAACAAGTAATTCCTGGGAGTTTGTAATCACTAGATATGACTGTAAATATCAGATGACAGAATATGATAAGATGATAACTCTGAGATTAAGTAAGCAGGACCCTCATGCTGTGACTTCTGTGTCAGTGAATGCAAATCACTACATTCTGGTGACTTTCTGGCATATCGATTCTCTAAAATGAGGTTTTATCTATCTATTTATTTCTTTATTTATTTTGTTTTATAAATGTATCCAAACTTGTCTATTTAGACATGTTTCTAACAGGACTTCAGATCTAAATGTTCATGTTTAAACTGCTTGATAATTGAAGACAATCGTTTGTTACTTTTGCCCCATTGTTGATCATAAATGACCATATTCCCACCAAGTGTCTGAGTTGTTTTTGTTTCCTTGTTTGAATCATGTGTGTTTGGGTGTGTTTCATGCATATTTCATTTCTTTGTCTAAAAGCACACCTTGCAGACTATTTCATAAGTGCTAAAAAGCAGATTCAATATATTAACAGTTTCTTGCAGTAGTTTTTGTTGCATAATGTTTTGCATTTTTATTGGTACATTACTGCCATCTTCTAATATGGATAGTGAGTTAAACAAAATTCAATCCTTTTTTTTTTTTTTTGTTCACCAGGTTTTTGAGGGTTTTTTTTTTTTTAGCTTTTCTACTATTTAATATAGTGTGTTGGAATGCTTCACATAAACCTATGTCAGGTTTATGTGACAGTTTTTAGTATTTTAGCTCCACAGGTCAACCTGGAGGTACAGTCTTTCCAGGACAGCAGTGCAAGCCCCGAGGCCCTATCTCCCTGAGGGACCAATCAGAAGCACCGCTTTGGCTGACGTTGTGAAGGTTCCAGATGCCTAAAATACCTTCCCTGCCTTTCAGGTAGTCTTGTCCTTGCAGTCAATCTCCATATTTCATGAGTAGATGAGACATGGAGATATGATTGTTTTTGGCCATATCTCTCTTCACGACATCAAACCTGCACAGCATGGTGTCCAAAATGTGGTCTGTGGGTCATTTAGTGAAACAAATGCAGCCCTTGCAGCACAATTTGTTCATGTACGTTTAAAACAAAAACCTTTAATGCTTAGATTTTCACTATTTTACAATCATTTATTCACAAAACTGTTAAATATTTTCACTCCCTTGCCTAAGCCAACCTGCTCTTTTCTCACTGCAGACCATAACCGACTTGAATAATCCAGAGATCTAAAGCTACGAGCTCAAAGGCTTTTCCAAGAGGCTTTGTTCAAGGTAAGAGGCCAGAACAAGGGTAATTGGACTATACTTATGATGGATCCTATAAAGAGAATCAGTTACTTAACCTTGCAGGAAGGCCTGGAGTAAAATCTTGTGGATTCTTCCTACGCAAAGTCTAAGTTAGCCGTGTGTGAATCCCTCCCTTAGTGGGGGAGTGGATGGGTTTAGCTTGACATCATTTGGTCTGTTGTCTGATCCCTGACTGTCAAATTGAATGTAGTGTGACCTTTAATCTGTTTGGGTTTTGAAAATTCTACTGCTCTCATCTCAGTCACACATTTTTAACATAATGCAGGGTTTGATTTTCTGTGAAATGACAATTAAACTCATTACATACTATCCATACCTTTTAAATCAAGTTTAGACCAATATCAAATCTGACATTTATCAGTGCCACCCTTAATACAAAGTATTTTTTAAATTCCAACCTCCCTTAACATGCACCCTCTGATCTCTATGAAATGAAACTTGGATTTCCTTTAGGCATCTTATTCCTTCATATTTTTGTCTTCCTCCAGTTGTGGAAGAGGTGAAAATATTGAAACCATTATCTGTAAAAATGTTTTTCTTAGATCTTGCTGCCTCAAACATAATCAGTTAATATATATTTCAGAGACTAAACAAAATGTAAACAGTAGTGTAAAAAGATTGGGAATATATTTTAATAAAAGGCTTGCCATGTGTTTTAAAATGTCTACAAAATGTTTAATTACATGGATGCAAAAACCTAATGTGTCATTGATCTAAAGATCTGCAAGAATCAAATAAGTTTTGCTGAAGGCATCTCAATTGAAATTTTCAGACATTTTTATGCCAGGCTGTAAGGGGTTAATCTTACTCGTATGGGAGAACACAGCACAACACTGTTTTTTCACTAAATATATTACATAGCTGCAACCATGTAATATAAATATATATATAGCAATGGCTGGGACAAATTCAGTGATATTTACTGAATTGTTTAATGTAAATTTGAACTTTGAAATGGAGAATTTGTTTTTTTTTATTTAAACCCAAACAAATGTGGAAACAATACAAATTCCCATTCAACAAACTTTCACAACAATAAACATCTTTGTCAGCAGGCGCAGAGAGATTCCTGAGTGGTGTGGTCAACAAGTACAATGACTGAAACCATCACATTAAAATAAAGTAAAAGGGAAAAAAAAGGAATTCTAAGATCAATTAAACATCAAAGAGAGATACAACTGCTTCTTAGAGATATTGGAATCTCTAAAGGCAGATTTCAATATTTACTTTGTAATTACCGAAAGAAGCTTTGCACCAACCAAACCAATGGCATAATGATAGTTTTGTAACAAATGATGATGCGATGAGCTGGAAATGATAAATCACACTTCAAATTTACAAAGAACCATAACCACCTGCGTTGACAGAAACCAGTCATGGGAGCCTTGCATAGTCTAATGTTCACTTCTATGTCCCAATATTTGTGGATGTGTTAAAACTCCTTGGGTCCTTCTTTTATCCTCTTTCTCATTTCTTCTGCGTGCTTCTTGCTGCGCTCTCTTTTTTCCAATCGCTGTGAGATGAAAGGAAACATGAGAAAATTATTAGCAGCATAAATGTTATACTGATTCATAATTAACTAAAAACAAACCGACACACCTCTTTCTTCAAACAGTGACGCATGGCACGGTCCACGTCATTACATGTGCCAAAGAACTTCATGACATTGTGCTGATGGAGTCATGAAGAGGTTACATGGTTTAGTTAAGAAACGGGTGGTGAGAAAACAAGGCAGAGAGCAGCTTACCTCTTTGTGGCACTGTCTCAGGAGGCTTATGAGTTCATTGCACTCATCTGTGTGCAGGTGAGGTGAAAGGTCAGGGTGCATTCTGAGTTAAGGAACCACTGCAGCAACACTGAAAACAACAAACAAAGGTGACGCTAAGAATAAGACCAACATCTGAAAAGCACCACTAAACCTTCCTAGTAAATACTCTGGAGAAGCACGGATGGTTCTCCTCACTGTTTCCAGCATTGCATAAACCACAGTACTGCTAGACGTCTTCTAAAGGATACTAATGCCTCCCCATCCCTCTCCTTCTTGATTTGTCATTGTGATGACCGACTTCCCTGTGGACACTTACCTGAAGAAAAGTAAGACATAAACATACAACACTGCAAACAGCAAGTCATCAAACAAAAGTGCAAAAGTGAAATGGGAGACATCACCTCATCCTTGTCAGAATAAACGCACACATTAAGCGTGACTTTCCTCCGTTTCACATTTAGCATGCCCGGATGTGACCCTGACGATAACCAGACCTTCTGGCAACTCTTGACTTTATTTATTGCAACTCTCTTGTCAATTCAGCTGCTATCCACATCATATTCCACCACCAACAAGCAACAGTGCCGTGATCAGGCAAGTCGTACAAAGAAATCAGTACTTGCTGAGCTCCCAGTGAAATAAGGCTCAGCAGCAAAGTGCACCCACACCTCCAAATTGAGCATGGTTGCTGTAAAAATTAATAAAGTTGAAGGGAGGGGGGGCGGAAAACAAACCTTGTAATGAGTAATAAAAAGGCGGCAGCAAATGTCTTGTCATCATCAAGATGAATTAAAATAGAAATACCTGGCAAACATATTTTACGATAAAGTGATATCAAATGATGGATATCGTAGATCTGATTACACCTTACTTACAAGTATTACCAGATATGTTTGACTTTAATTGTTGCTTATACAAATACATTATTAGTAGTGTATTTGTCCAGAGGAATAGTTAGATTTGATATTTTAACTTCTCTTCTTACTAGCACCGCAGTTATTAGGCCATTGGAGATTATAATATATGCTAGGACATACCGATGAAACATTTTGTCCATCTACGTTCATCGTAGAGATTTATAGTAGTGAGGAACCTGAAGAAAAGCCAAGGGTCTCTAGAATGCTGTAAATCTTCGAAGCTATTTGAAGACACTGAGCAATGACGGCTGAATAAAACTTACCAGATGTTAAGCTGTCATCTGAGAACCTTCTCAGCACACCTGGATCTAATGTCAGGTTAAGTATCAGGCCTTAGTTTAAAGCAGCACGCATACTCATTCTCACTAAACAACAGATTAACGCCCCAAAAACAACAAATCTGTAACTCGATTTAAGTATCTATTCTCAACGTTCGAGAAAAAACAAGTACAATCTCCTTGAAAAACGTGGAGCTGTAGGACATCGGAGAGTCTCACAACGCTTTCATAACTTATGGCACAAACACTGTGGGACAGAGCACACAACGAATCATCGTCCGAGTTTGTTTGATTTTGACCAATCGTGTGCGTTTTGTCAAGAAAAGGCGGGACTTGTTGTTTCCAAGGTTTGGAGGAAATGCAAGAGAACTATCTGCTACTTGTATCCGAGTTCGCATTTCTTGTGCTACATGTTTAGATAAAAAAGCGATATTTAAGTTTGATGTGGCATTTGAGATTGCTCATTTTTATTTTTCAAACTTTATTAGAAAGTCAAACATTACAAAATGAAGTAAACAAAGCTTTTCATTCGTACTGACTATAATAATCGGAAACGGGGCTGTAAAAAGCAATACTACTCCAACTCACCAGGGAGCGCTAAAGCACACATAGAACGCGTGTTGTTAGTTTCTGATTGGTTGATTCATCCCGTCAGCGGCAGAGGCGGTTTGTTTGGAATGTCTCGGTAGCTCACAGTTGCTAACACGTCTGTTAAACAGTACAAATACAGTTTTATAGTTCGCAGATTGGATTTTATTTGTTGCCTAAGGAAATATGGATATTTCGGCGAAACACTTACTGCAGCGACTGGTGCGACGGATCCCTGCTTCGATGCTTATATCCACGCTGGAGAAGTGGGGGCGTCTGACCGCAGAAAACCTTAGATCCTTAGATTTCACTCAGTCAAAATGGGCCATAGCCATGGAGCTAGTCGCCCTTTGTGAGGTATATTGAAGCTTATTCTCTTGAATAAGATGTATGTATATTCATTAATGTTTTAAACACACTGTGGTGCGATTAAGCAACAGCAATTATTGTATTAAAATGTGATATTAGTTCAAATGAATAATAGATGTTATTGTTCTTATTTGTTAATTTTTCTTGACAGGAAAGTGAACTGACTGTAAAACACATCACAGAACTTGAGATGATATGTAAGTACAGCTGTTAAACTGTGGTTTTGACTTTGCGATACTTTTTCATGCATTATCTTGCAAAAACCTTTGTAAAAAAAATGCATGCAGATGTTACCAATGAAAGAAAAATAAAACATTTGTTTTTCTTTTCAGAGATCTGCTTCTTCTCCCTTTATGAAAACAATGTTTAGATGATGCATAGTGTTAAAAGGAAATCATTTATTTATTAGAGCCTTTCATACAAGCCTTATAATGGGAGACTTTTTACCCATTAAAGCTAATTTTAGATTAGATAAGTGATGAGCTGTTCAAGATCGAGGAGAGGCTTTTGTTTGACAAAAGAAAGTGAAGCAAAGCAAAGCCCAAAAATACTGTCATCATAGTCAGCACTTTAGTACCCTTATGTAGCAACATTATTTACATAAATTCAAAGAAACATAACTTTTGGCAGTCTGAAAACAATCTCATAACTGCAACCATTGCTGTTAGTTAGTTAATTAATGGATTACAGTACAACTTAATATTTAACTTTGGTTTCATTGTCTTAGATATCACTGAGAATCCAAACCAGGGAATGTGGCACACCTTCCAGCTTGTGGATCCTGAGGGTAGGTCAAAACAAGACTATCCACCTTATAACTTTAAAATATTAAAACCTGATAGTTTGTTTTAATTTATATCAAAAGTGGAACTGATATTTCAATTATTAATCTGCTAAAATCGGGGTCGTAATGTGCCCCAGTATAAATATAATATCAATATCACATATTTTATGTTTTTGCATTTAAACAGAGGTTATGTTCATCCAAAGTAAATACATTTCATTTTTGGGCATATTTTGTAAAATATAGCCCCTCCCTTTAATCTAAAGATGAGTACACATTATAGTGTGACCATAAACTTGGAATTTTACTGCTGAAATAATTGTTCTTCATATTTTTACATCTTTTAAATGAGATTTAACCGCTTTCTGTTTGTACTTTTTTGTTTCTTTTTGTTCCCAGATGATGCCAACTCTGTGGAGCTGATTCAGTTTAAGGAACAATTCAAATCCCATCTCAGTGTGCTCAAAAGAAATGTGAGCCTAAAAATACTTTTACAGTTGCATTTGTCTTTAATGTACTATTTGAAATATCAATGATGTCTTTTGATTTTGATCAAAGGTGTCGGTCAAAATTAAGAAGCACACAGACGAAGCTGTTTGGATCCGAGTTGCCTGGGGAGACGGCTTATCTCGGCCCAACCACCTGAAAGCAACATATGTTGTTCATTATCTCCAGACCCCTTATGTTTTTGTTAATGCTTTGGCTTCAAAGTATAAGCCTCTTCTCTTGCAGGTGAGGTGAAAAACAAACTTTTTGTGTGTGTGTGTATTTTAAGTACTTTCCATCTTCTAAAAGTTATTTTTGCTGCAGGCCTTGACTTTGTCCACTAGACATCAACAAATCAAGGCTGCGAACCTGAGTGGACAGAAACTGACCGCTCTCAGGGACCTGCTGATGAGGCAGTACCAACAAGTAAGCCAGGCTCCTCTGATGAGGTAGCAAAACACTCCAGTAGTTTAAATTTAATGTCATTTTTTGCCGGTTTCTTATTTTTAAGGGTCAAAAGAGTTGTTTTTACCATGAATTGACAATTTTGTTAGAGAATTATCTGATTTAACGTTTCTCTTTCTTTAGGTGTTTCCAACAAAGTATCCCATCCCTCTTGCAGAGAGTGATCAAAGCATTTCAAGTATGTTGAGTGGAATTAACTGATCTTCTCCAGGCCGGTTTATTTATGTTGGATATCTTGCCTTCTTTAACATTGAAATGTTGCTATTACGTGCTTGGTTGTGTACATTTAGAGCTGCGGATTGAAAAAGTGCATGCTGAGGCATCAGCCAACAGACATCGGATGGCGGGAGAAACCTTTGGCGATGGGATGTTACCTGCACTGCAGTCTGCAGTCTTTAAGGTAAAATGCACAATAATTGAATATAGGTCATGGTTCGGCACAAAAATTTAACATTACTCATTCTTGCTTTTATTTGTTTTTTTTCTCTTTCAGCTGGAAACAAAATTCAAAGACCCCATCAATGAAGCCATGACACAACGAGATGAGCCATTCTTATGTAGTGTTAAATTTTCAAGTTCCAACCTCCTTGAATCACTCAGACATTGTGCATCCTCAGGTACTAGAAGTGAATTAGCCACAGTCATAAAGAAAATTATACATTAAATATATTTTTTTGAAAACTTTTCTATTTTCTCAGCACATGCAGTTCTCTAAATGTCCACAAGAGGGCACACACTTATTGCAGAAATCATCATGCTTGTTTGAGTCTAACTGAATGAGCCGCATCTTGTATTGATGAACTTAACATATTTTTAGGAACAGAAAAATTTAATTTTTATTTTACAAGAAGATAAGTTGAGTTTTGCAGTTTTCTAGTGTCAGCCTAACTCTACATTATGTTTTCTTCCACTTTGCAGGAATTGCCTCAACCCCAGTCACACCCTTGCTGTCATCTATTCCTCTAAAAGGAAGGAATTATTTTGTCATTACGGACAATGTTCCAACTGCTTGATCATAACTGTGCCAGACACAGCCCTGGTTTTAAATCGGCCCCTACTGGAATGACTCAAAGCTTTTCCCACACTTTCAGGAAAATTATTGTCCATAGACATTCTAGTTCTCCTTTTTTTAAAATGCTTTTTTTATGCACCTTATTTCATATAAATCTGGGTTTTATATATATCACCATTTTTTATGTTATGAAATTTTGATGTAATTTTGGATTTGTTTTTTCTTTTACTTTTTAAGTGTAATAAAAAGGCATGGTTTTAAAACAAAACATTGTTTCCTATGCCCTGTATTACAGTATTAACATGTTGAGCAGATTTGGTTCCAGTAATAACTATGTATTGATGTTCCTTTATAGTATTATGTCATGCATGAAAAATCAGTAATTTTTTGTGATTTAATCACCAATTGCTTTCTCAGACAAGGTGAAATAAGGCCAACAATAGCAGTTGTACATGAGGAAACTGGGTTGCTCATATGAATGTATGAAATAAATAAATATCTGCTGTATTTAAAGCATTTTTCAAAAGTTTTGATTATCCAAAAAAAGGTACAGAGTATTTATTAAAAATTGAAGTAACCACATGGTTATGTTTTTCAAAATAAATTATTGAAAGATCTGGAAATTAATAAGAATTCCCCACTCTTTTAACTCTTTAATATTTATTTATGCATTTAATTGGGGTCTAAGTGAAAAAAGTCAGTCCTACTTTACAAAACGGAAGTTTGGAAGTTGCCTTGCTCGTGACGAAGCTCCGCATTGTTAACGTCACCGTAGTATGTGGTGATTGGCTGAGACGCCTTTCAGTCAAAGCTGAGGGGACGTTTGCCCCACGCTAAAGTCCCTTTCAGTCAAAGCGGAGGGACGTCATGCCCCTTCTCATTCAATGCTCCTGCTGGGGGGTGGGGGGGTCTATGCGAAACGGAATGGACTGTCAACAGAGAAACATGGCCGTTTCTGTAACGGCCAAGGCAAATGGCAGGCATAACTCGACGACAGGCGGTGTGAAATGCTGCGAAGAGCCTATGCCGCAGTGTCGGGAAATAGTAAAACCTACCATCATCGAGCTGACCAAAGAAGTTAGGACGAACATCCTCTGCACCGTGGAAGGATGTGGCAAGATTCTCCCCAACACACCTGCGTTGAACATGCATCTGGTAAAGTCCCACCGAATAAAGGTGAGTGAAGCAGCACAGGTAAACGTTCAGATGTAGCTTAAATGTGGAGATAAGTGCAATGCTAATTTGGCTAACTCGTGATGGAGAACGCCCGAAAACTGGAAAAACGCAAGTCATCCAACTTCGAGTTGACTAATTTGCAGATGAGTAGAGACGAGACAACAAAAACTTCGAGATTTTTCCAGTTTTATATGAGTAATGCTTATGTAGTGACAGTTTACCACTGGCTGGTTAGCTACATTTAAACTAGCTGCATGTGCTATCATGTGTTACGGTTTATGTAGGCTGTTCATTTCTTTTCTTATTGCAGCCACTTTGTTTAAGAGAAAAATAAAAATGACACACACACAAAAAGAAAACTACCTGCCATTTTTTGTTTAATATGCCTTATCGTACCCTAGTAAAATGCACATGAATGGTTTGCTGATTGTACAAAGCAACAGAAACGCCAGAATTTTGTCATTATTATACTGTTATGTGTTTGCTTTTATTACTGGAATAGTTATCTTTTATAAACATTACTTATTTTTATTATTTGTTACATATTTGTTCAATCTTTCTCTATTTTATAACAGTGGTACAAGACAAATAATTTGAGAAAACAATTGAGCTCCTCCACTTCCTTCCAGTAGCCCTACTGCCATCTGCAGGAATGCCTTCTTTGGGTCAGAAATAACCAATCACAGCCAGAAGGAAAATCTGTTAATAACCTTCAGCGCCTACACAAGTGTGATTGTGTAAGCATAGTATGCATATATAATGATATGAAACTTTCCTATTTCAAGTATAACAAATACAAATAATTATTTACTTGATCAGACTTGCTCAGTTAGTTCCTGTTGTACTTAGTGTTGATGCATTTCAATTTTGAGAGTGGAAAAAGTTACTTGATTATGATTTAAAAAATAAAATAAAATAGCGTAACCACTAAGTGCTAAACTGCTGAAACAACCAGCAGTTAAGCATCATAATCATCACAGATGAGTTTTAGATATAAAATATTTCCTTTTAAAGAGAACTTTGTATCTAACTGGACAGCTAAATAAGACATGTCTTATTATAGTAGTAATACTATATTATTTTACTTATAATAGTAATAATAAAAAAAATGTTTATAATCATTTTAACAACAATTAATTTCTTCCTCAATAATCAGTCAATAAAACCTTTACTGCCATTAGCAATCAAGTAATTCTGGTCAAGAATCTTTCGATGTTTCCATTGGTATTTTTAACCAATCTCAAGTGTCATGAACTCCAATGTTTTAGTTTGGAAGAGCTCTTTGCCTTCGTCCTAACATTTTGCTTTCTCTACTGAGTCTCTTCAGGAAAAGGGTCACTTTAAAGTGTTACTGTTACGTCCAGAATGAACAAATGTTTAACAAAATGTAAATAGTACTTTAAGTCTCAAAATGTCAGCTATATGAATATTTTGGAGCTGAACTCTATGTTCCCAGAGAGCACAACGATCCTAGTTAAACAACAGAACAGAAATGTGCATGATCTGCCTTTTTATATTAAAATCAATGGGAGCTAAGACTCATTAACATTCTCTATATTAATGAGAATAGTTGGCACTCTGTAGGGGGTATGTTGGTTTGATAAATAAAGTTTAAGTATAGACAGTTTCAGCTCTTGGCTTACAGTCAGACAAACGTCCTCACTGGATCGGACCTTTCTGTGGGAGGTTGTAATTCACTGTCTGCCCTCCATGAATGAAGTTCCTTTCTGGCAAAGGCTCCTCTTTGTCCAGCGACAGACTAAGCTCTTTGTTTAAAATAGGTGAATGTGAGAATTTGAATTAGCTCTTAGTAGTGAATGTAGGCAGGCTGGAGAAGTTTTTAAAGAACCAGTAAACCCACTGGATTTACCATGAAAACGCTGCGTTTGCCATATAAATGTGACGGACGGCGAACATTGTGGGTGTAGGCAAGTTTGGAAAAACATTAGATCAACTTTACTGACCTATTGTTTTGTTCCCGATAATCACAATCTATGTAGTTAGTTGTAATTCTGTTACTGTATCTGCATTGGATTTTTAGACGAAAGAAAGGAGCAAACTCTGACATTTAATTTGAGTGAAAACTTGGAGATACACTCCTTTGTGAAACTGCTATTAGTGGCGATAATGATAGTCCAGTGGTGATAAAGTTCTTGGATACTCCTGCTTCTCACTTTGCACTTCTTTTTCTGAATTATTCATGACTTGAGGCTGCCAAACTGAGGCCTGGTGTTGGTATTTTCACAGAGGCAGATGAAATGTTTTGCTTTGACCTGACTCCTTCCATCTCTTGGACACTTAAATAGCTTAGAGTAGCTCCAGACTATTATTTCCACTCATAATTGTATTTTACGGTTTCTCAGAGGTGAGAAACAATCCCTGCAATCTACCACATAACAGTTGAAGCTCAGCTAGCTCTTTTAGCTACATGCTGATGACAAATATTTTGACATTAAGTAGGTTTCATCACTTAATCATAAGATGACAATTCCAAGACAGCAACAGTTTTTCATGTGGGCTTTTTGCCCTCTCACTTCTCGCTCATAAAGCAGAGGCCCTTTAGTAACCATCCTCAGCTTGTCTTCTCCCTCTAGCGTTTCACCAGATGGAGATGACCTTGGCTGCTGAAAGATGACAGTATTTGTTGTGACAGTAGTGCTGCCTGTTTATGGCGTGTCAGATTCATTTAGTGACGCATCCTGGGGATATTAATCTGTTTTACTCAATAACAACTGAGGTTCTTGAAATGCATTAAAGAGAAGTCACGATGGCAACAAATCTTGAAAAAATAATAAATGTTCTACGTGTGGCGCTTCAAATATTTTTCCTTTCATATATCTGTTACAGCTAATGGTATAGTTTTTCAAGTCATACTATGAGTTGTCAACTAAAAAATGTAAGTTCAAGCCAAAGTAAACATGCATATCAGAAATGGTAATAAAAATTGTGCTTGATTAATTCCGTAGGTAATGTAACAACAAATCGTATGTCTTTGGAAACTGTTTTCCTTAAAGGAGTGCTATCATGCTAAATTCTTTTGTTTGTGCAAAAAAATATAATGAGCATGTTTTATATAGTCCATAAATATATCATAATCTGCTCAAGGAGGCCTCATAGGTCACCTTCAAGTCATGCCTAATTATAAGAAAAATGCATCAGTGCAGATAATTTAACAATGTACCGATTTAATTTAAAAGAGGCTTCAGACTGTTGGAAAAGCTCACAGTCATCACAGCCTCATGCTGGTCACCAGCTTGGTCACACTCTTAGGGATGTCGTCCCGTTTCTCAACAAGCGTTTGTGGCAATTCAGTTAATGTGGCATGCAGTATTTATTGTAAAGAAGCATTGTTACAACAAAGAAATGATCAACTGCACACAATTTAACCTACATTTTCAACTAGGTGCATTTGGTTTAATTTTAACTTCTTGTTAACTTTGCATGTTTGAAATGCCTTAAATCACTGCTGCATTTGTTGAATCAGAATCAAATGTCCACATCTTTAATGTGTAAAAAAAAAAAAGCAACTATTTTAAATGTCTTTGTTTTTGTTGTCTTTTGGTTTTTTGCTGTGACTAACCTCTTCAGGATGGAATTATCAACCCCACAGTCAGAAAGGAGATGAAGGGCTCACAAAAACTTTACTGCTGTCCCATCGAGGGCTGTCCCAGGGGCCCCAACAGACCTTTCTCACAGTTCTCCCTGGTTAAGCAAGTAAGAACTCTCTCTCACACTAAAAATCCAATGATTAAATAGCCTCTTTGTACCTTTCTAAAAGACTACATCAACCCATTGGTGTTGTGAGGCTCACTAAAAAAAGTTTCCTCCACTTTACAGTAGACCGTAAGACAAAACAAAACAAAAAAAAATAGCATGGCGCTTTTGTTCTTTCAGATGGTCGGATTGTTTACGTCAGTTAAGTTTCAAACAGTTAAAGATTTGAGTTGTTTGATTTTTACCACAAGCAATTTATTTAAGATGTCATCTCAGGTTCACTGAAAACTTGAAGATCCTGTGAGTTTCAGAGTGGGCTCTCTGTGGATCAGGCATGTGAGTTGCATCCTGTAGGCGATCATTCACTTTGGGATTTGGGAATTTAGGAAGTCAGACCAATTGCTAGGACTCTTTGGCATGAGTCCATATTATATGGATAATTATATTCTAAAAGAAAATAAGACATGCCTGGTACAGCATGTTGCCTTCTTATGGGAAACTGTTGCCATGAGAGTTTGTGCTTTGCCTCCAGCAGCATGTAGGTGGGTGGTATCCTCATAAATGACAGAAGCAACGATTCCACCAACAGAGCATTGTTTAGTCATA